AAGAGGTGGTACTTGAAAGTCATGGGCCGGACTGAAGGGTCTGGACCTTCGCAAGGACGCATAGCGCCCATAGGTGATGAACCAGACCGCGGACCGGTTGAGCCTGACAGGTGGAAGAGAGAGATGAAGGATGGGGTGGAGTACCTCATTCGTGAGCACAACAATCCTCGGAAGCGGCTTTTCGCTCCAAAAGTCAAGGATCTCCCAGTGCCACTGGAGAGGATCGAGAGCGGGAGGCTCACAAAGATGATCTTCGAGGAGGATGGTTCTCAAAGAGAGGATCGCAGTATGTGGGAAGACAAAAGGTATGCCATGAGAGAAATAAAGCACCAACGGCTTGGCGAAACTTGGTTCAGGTTGAAGCCTGAAAGAAGTGAGGAACCGGGAGCCGCCATGGAAGAGCAACCCAACAATGCAGATGAGTGGATGCTAGGCCTAGATGAGGCCTATGAAGAAGAAATTCTAGCAGAAGAAGAAGCACACGAAAGGATTGTTGAGGATGATGAGAACGCAGACGATCGCGTCATGATCGATGGCGACGAGGAGGACGAGAAGAAGGCGAAAGCGATCAAGGCACCAAAGGAGCCCACGGCGGAAGAGGTGGAGCAACGCAACCTTCACCACGCCAACTTTGAAAGTTGGTGTCCTGTCTGTGTGATGGGACAAGGAAGGAGCAAGCAGCACAGGAGGGTCAAAGAAGATCCAAAGGAGCATGTGATCTATTCGGACTACATGTTCCTCTCCAAGGAGGGAGTTGAAGTGAGCAAAGAAGAAGGGGAGAAGAAGAAAGCTGGTTTGGTGACAGTTTTGACTGCCATATGCAAAGACAGCCAGTACCCTTTTGCTCTGGTCCTGCCGTCGAAGGCTAGTGTGGACTATGCGTGCAAGGCGATGGAAAGCTGGATAAAGGACCTCAAGTGGGACAAAGTGGTCATCCAGTTTGATCAGGAAAGTGCGTTGAACAAGATTTACGAGAAGACAAAAGCAAATATGGGTGACACCGTAAGTTTGCGGAGATCACCGAGATATAGCTCGCAATCCTTGGCAGATGGAGAGATGGTCAATGGTTTGATCGCGGGCAAGGTGAGAACTTGGCTTGCGGAGGTGTCAGAGAAGTACAAGATCAAGGTAGGTTGCGACAGTGTGTTGTTTCCTTGGATCGTTCGACACAGTGCATGGACTTTGGCACGATTCCATGTGAACCACTCCGAAACAACTGCTTTTAGGGTTGTGAAGGGTTACGACTACATGGGTGATGGCATTCGGACAGACAGCCATGGCAAAATACCCAAAGCAAAAGGACAAGGCAGCGCCCAGATGGATTCGTGGAG